GCCCCCCTCGCCGCGTCTGTCCGCACGCCAGCCGGGGCCGCCCGCGGAGCATGCGGGCCGGGCCCGCGCGCCCATGAGACGAGAATGGGGACGCAGGGCAGCCCGGTGAAGAGCTACGACTACCTGCTCAAGTTTCTGCTGGTGGGCGATAGCGACGTGGGCAAGGGCGAGATCCTGGAGAGCCTGCAGGACGGCGCCTCCGAGTCGCCCTACGCTTACAGCAACGGTGAGACTGCGGCCTGGGCGGGCCACGGGGCTCGGGGCGTCCGTGGCGGCCCGCGAAGTGGGGTCGCCCACTGAGGGCCCTTCCCATGGGACTTCTCCCCTGCGGGCTCTGGAAGCTGGCCTGTCCACTGCGGGGGTCCACTGCGGGCCCTACGAACAGCGCCACCCACTGTGGTGCCATCCACTGGGGGCCCTGGGAACGAGACCTGTCCCTTGCCCATCTCCTGCCAGTTTGCCCAGGCTCCCCAGGTGGCCTAGCCCACTCTGCCCCGTGTGCCCCTAGACTGGTTTGTCCTGGAGCTGTCCAGGAAGCTGCTCTCAGGGCTTTTGTTGGTACCTCTTCTTAACCCGATGTCTTCCAGGCCTAGGCAGTACTCCTGGGAGGGTGACCAGGCGCCTACTGGGTTACAGTGGGAGGCAGAGGGAGCCAGGTCGCTGCTGTCCATCAGTGCTGCCCCAGACCCCAGTGGGAATCCCAGAGGCCTTATCTCTCTGCGTGTGTGACAGCGCCATTCGATACCACCCCCTAGAGCTGGGCGTATAATGGGACTAGTGACAGCCACCCATTTGCTCACTTGCCCGTGGTTAGGCTACAATTAAGAACCAAGTGCCAGTGCCCCCGCCCGCCTGCGCCTTTTCTTCCTTTCCTCCTGGTAGTTTGAGTGGGGCCACTAGCAATCTGCAGTCAGCAGGAGGCCCCGGGGGTCCCAAGCAGACCCTCCGCTTGGCCCTGTCAGCTTGAAGCCTCGTGAGAGGAGCCCCGGTGTGCAGTGCTACAGCTTAAGGTGGCTGATTGGAACCTGCCAGCCGCTCCTCGGGAGAGAGATGAGGCAGTCTGCTTCCCTAAAGATTTACAGGCTTGGAGAGCCTGCGGGGCGGTTGTCTTGTACCCTGTAGGACCACTGTGAATCACTCGAGGGCAATGGAGTAGGGTGAAACAGAAGAAACTGAAGCTGTGGGGTCCAGAGGCTCAGCCCTCGGCTACTAAGGACCAAAGGCCAGTGGAGAAGGATGAGGCGTCCACCCTCATCCAGATGGCAGCCTTGGAGACCCACAGGGACTGCCTCGCTGTCACGTGGGTCACTGACTCAGATTCGACGCAGTCGCAGCAACCACGTATGGACCTTGATCTAGCCTTGGAGTCATGCAAGGAGACATGGCACTGGCACTGCCTGGGCTAAAGCTCACAGCTGCTGACCCAAAGAAACCAAGTCACTCTTGAGAGGAAGGTGTGGCTTCTACTCCCATGAGGATGAGTCTCAGAAGCCCCCAGCTCTGCTCTGCCCTAGGGTTGCTGGGGGTTGGTACCAACTCGATAACAGTGGTCTTGGGCACACACTAGAGGCTGGGTTGCAGATGACACCTTTTACAAGCTGGATGGGACAGGGAAACTGCCACCCACCCTGGGCCAGTGGCGAGGAGCTCGTCCAGGGAAGGATCTCAGGGGGTAGAGGAGACCAAGGGTAGCTGGACTCTGAGGACCTGAGCCTTTGGCATATTTGGCTTTAGATTGAGGGGGACTTCACCCTGTATCTTGAGTGGTCCCGTCCTCTTGGTGCCTTGATGCCGCGTCCACGCAGGCTCACTGCTCCCCCGTGGCCTTGACTTTGGCAATGTAAGGGTTCCTTGTGAGGGTCAGGTCATACACACACACACACACACACACACACACACGGATTGTGCCACTGACACCTGCCTTGCTCACCTGCCGAGGAATAGCCTCTGCTGATGACCCTTAGTGGGCGCAGTCAACATGGCCTAGAGCCTGTCTCCACAGATCCGCACATGTATCCAGGGTGGGGTTGGCCTTACCACCCTCCCTTCTCTTGGCCCTGCCTCCTCTTCCTCCTCCTTGGAGGTCTGAGGTCCCTCCGGTGCTGTCTGACCAACCAGCAGTGCCTGCTCACTGCTTAGTCTGGAGGGGCATCCCCAAGGGTGCAGTTCAGAGTCCAGGTCCATCCATACTGGGTGTGGGCCATACGAGGACCCTTCTGTGTCCCCTTGGCGCTGGCCTCCCCACAAAGGCTGGCAGTGGTCTCCCCCTACCCCCAGGCCACCCTCTGGCCCTGCATCAGGAGCATTAGGCAGCTTTCTCCACAGAAGGACACATCCATGGCGTGTATCCCCAGGGAAGCGGGGCCGAGTTGTCCTGAGACAGTCTCTGTTCCTGAGGGTGGACTGTGCCTCAGCACGTTGCCACACTTCCTGTGACATGCTAACCACAGCAGGGACAGTCTGGTGTAAGATGTGGACACCTTCCTGATCACGGGTGGCCATTCATGTAACTGGTCCGGTCAGAGAGTATGCTCTTCCGAACGGCAGAGTAGCCCTGACCCAGGGCACCCAGACCCCCCTGCTTGACTCATGCATGGCTCCTGTACCTTCTCTGGGCTCCTGGCACCCAGAGAGCATGGCTCTAGGGTGCCAAAGCAGCCTCAGTCTGGTGAGCTGAGCTCTGCCAATGCCTCCTGGACCCTCCTCTGGGAGCTGGCGGCAGGGGCTCCACCTGCTTGAAAGACTTGGGGTTACCCTGCTGATTTTCTTATAAAAGGTGCTGGCCCCATGCAGGATGCCAGGCTCAGAGTCAGTCGGCCCAGTTCAGGGTGCCCAGTTTTGGGGTGGAGGGGCAGGTCAGTGCCAGTCCTCTCTTCCAGGGAGTCTGGAGTCACTGAGCATGCAATGAGGGCTGAGGGCATAGTGGTACCAGCCTGGGGAGCAGGGAGCTGGGGGAGGGGAGGGGCCCGTGCCATTGGAGGAGGTGGACAGCACTGGTTGCTGTCACCACAGTGCTGGCTTGTCACTTCCCTCCTCAGCAACAGTCAGGAGCACACAGGTCAGAGGCCGGTCAGGCCTGTTCCTCAGGCAGGTGTGTGAGTACAGCAACCTTGGCTTATAAACACCTGAGTCACTCAGCCGCCCTGCTCCTGGCAGTCGCGGGGGGGCGGGGGGTGGGTGTGTGTGTGGGGGGGGAGTGGTGGTGGTGGGTGCATGTGTGTGTGTAAGTCTCTGCATGCGTCTCCGTATGTGCACATCTGCGTATACATGTGTTTGTGCATGTGTCTGTCTATCTGCTCGCGCACGTGCGTGCGTGTGTGTGTGTGTGTGTGTGTGTGTGGGGGGGGGGGTTCCTTTCTTTCTCCTGCTTTCCAGGCTAGGTGGGGTAGGGATTCCACCCTCAAAGCAGATTCCACCTGGGACCCACTGCCGGGCTCTGGGGCCCTCGCTGTGCTGGCTGTGTTGGGGGCGTCCTGCGTCAAGTGCGACAGGTCTGGGTGCGTCTTAATCCTGGCCCTGGACCAGCGTGCAGACACACCCTGAGCCTGTGAGGCGCCCCGCCAGGGGCCAGGCCACACCTATGCTGACTGGGCTGCAGGACCAGGAGGGCAGGTCCGGCGTTGCCTTGGAGCCCCCCACCCCAGCAGGGAGGAGTGGGGTGAGAACTACTGAGGGTCTTGCCTAAGGAGTTGAGGATGCTCTGGAAAAAGTGACCCCAGCTTCATCACCCCCCAAGGTAGTCCTGGTGTGTACAGAAGCCCCCACTGTGGCTGGGGCTGGAGAGGCTCCTCCGTGGAGCAGTGAGCCCAGGTCACCCACCATAAGGCTCCAGGCTTCCAGTGTAGTGGTTGGTGTGTTGGGGGGTGGGTGCTGTACCTTGCACAGCTTCGGGGAGCCTGGGGTAGACAGGGCTGTGGGGCTCACTTCTGCATCCTGTGGTCACACCAGGAGGCCTCCAGGTTTGGGGAGCCCTGGATGGAGGGTCATCAGTGGAGGATCATGCCCCCTGCCCCTCTCTTAGGGCATGCTGTGGGGTCTGGCTGCTCACATCATGGACACAGCCTGCCGTGCCCACCTGGAGGCCCCTTGCGCTTAGAGGTGTGGGGGAGGTGCTGTCCTCCATCGTGGGTTTGCTATTCTGGGAAGCTGCTGTGAGCACAGCGGGCTGGGAGAGCAGCGTCCCCAGGACCGAGGTGCCTCCTGCCCCCATGAGCCCACGCAGAGCCGCCTCTGGAGCTGTGCCTGGGCAGCGTGCACCGGCCTGTCTGGGCTGTGACTGTTCACATACGACCTGGGTCTGGTCCATCTGCAGCCCAGGCTGACTTGGCTGAAGGGCCACCGAGACCCCTGCTCCCCCTCTGTGGCCATCCACCCACGCAGGCCTCCCTGCATCATCCCCATAAGCTGCTGCTGAGCGTCTTCAAGAGGGACAGGCAGGCCCTGGAGACTGTCCCTCCACAGCCGCGCGGGGGCCCTCCTGACCAGCACCTGCCGCCTGCACAGCCAGCCTTGCCGCTGCTGCCCTGCCATTGCCCTCCTCGCTGCTCGGGGAGCCCAGTCCTTAAGCATCCTCTGCTCAGCCTGCGCCCCTTAGAGACCTTCTGTGGCCGGCAGGCAGAAACAGTGTTGGGTGAAGTCAGGGTGGGCTTCAGGGCCCTGTCATCAATGGGTGTTATCATTCCACACCAGGCCTGACACTGGCCACACAGTGCAGCATGCCAGGGGCCTGGTTCCTGGAGAGGGCAGCCCACCTGTGGTGCCACCCAAGGGGCTGCAGCCTCAGCTTCAAGGCCACCCATCCAGCAGCACGTCCCACAGCCATCCGAAGGGCTTGGTGGTGCATAAGAGGGTGAGGCCCCTGAGTAGTGCGCACACAGGAGTCAAGGTGGCAGACCGCTTGGTCTGCAGATGGATGCAGGTCCTCACTGCCCCTCTTCCAGGGCAGCGCCGCCATCTAGTGGTGCGGAGGCTGCCGTGTGCCCAGTGGCCAGGCCGCCTGATGACAGCCTACCATGGGGTAGAGGTCAGTGTGGCCAGGCTGGAGAAGGGCAGCAGGGATGAGAGGGCCCCACAGTTGAGAGAGATTGGGCCGCTGGACGGGCCAGGGGGGGTTGTGTGTGTGTGTGTGTGTGTGTGTGTGTGTGTGTGTGTGTGTGTGTGTGTGTGTGTGTGTGTGTGTGTGTGTGTGTGTGTGTGTGTGTGTGTGTGTGTGTCTCTGTCTGTCTGTCTGTGAGCGTGCGGACATACATCTGTCTAGATACTGGCAAACACAGGCAGCGCATACCTTTACCGTGCATTCACGCTGTGATGGCGGCAATTGAAAAATGCCTGTTCTCCGTCCTCTTGGAACAAATGTTAGAAGAACCAGAGGATCGGGGGTGTCTGGAATCCCCAACATGGGGAAGGGGGTGCACATGTGCTGTTCCTCGGGGACCTTCGTGTGTGTGGGGGGGCGACGGAGTAGTAAGAGTACTGGCTCTGGAGGGACCCAGAGGGGCAGCACCCAAGAGGACGTGGCTGGCACAGTGACTTGGAAAAGTCAGAAATGGCACACAGGGCAGACCCCTACTTGCCCTGTGGCCCCGGGGTCCTGCCAGGCAGGGTTGCCAGTAGTGAGGGTGGGCTGGCTGCTGTAACCATCCGTCTGAAGGGTCCCTCCCCTCCCCCTCTGCCTTGCACAGGCATTGACTACAAAACCACCACCATCCTGCTGGACGGCCGCCGAGTGAAGCTGGAGCTCTGGTGGGCTGGGGTCTGGGGGCTGCAGGAGGTGGGGTCCTGGAGTAAGGGATGGGGTCTGGGGTGAAGAAATTGGGTCCTGGAGAAAAGAGGCAGGGAGGTACAGGGGGCAGGTCCTGGAGAGATGGATGGGGCCTGGAGTGAAAGAATGGGGTGAGGAAGCTTCCCCAGGGTGGGGAAGGGGGGTCTCTGGGTGAAGGGTGGGTGAGAAGGACTGGAGGGTCCTGGGGACCACACCTCCTGCTGACCCCTCTTCCGGCCCGTGCGTTTCAGGGACACCTCGGGCCAGGGCAGATTCTGCACCATCTTCAGGTCCTACTCCCGCGGCGCGCAGGTGAGCGGGCAGCTGGGTCAGCACGTGTAAAGACCAGCTCCTCTCCCGCCAGGGGAGAGGGGTCTTGGACTGGTCCCAGGGCACTGGGTGGTGGTGGGGGGGCTTCTATTGGGCTCCCCATAGGCGGGGCGACTGGGCATGGCTGCCACCTGGGCCACAGACACAGGGTCCGCCCTGACCCTGTGACCCAGGATGTCATAATAGGACTGTGGTGGTGGAGCCGGGAGCCCTGGTGGCTCAGTAGGTTAAGTGCTTGGATACGAACTGCAAGGTCAGCAGATGGCACCCACCAACCCTGTGGAACAGGAAAAGGAGGAGGCCGGCTGCTCCTGTAAACGCTAAGAGCCTCGGAAACCCACAGAGGCAGCTCTGTCCTGCGGGCTCGTTGTGAGTCCTAGTGACTCGATGGCAGTGGGTTTGGGTTGTATAGAGTTGCAGCCTCAGAAGCTCCCAGGGCCGGCCCCACTCTGTCCCGCAGGGCTGCGTGCAGAGACTTGATGGGCTGGTGGTGGTTTGGGGGTGAGATTACCAGGTCTTTATTCTGTGGTTGGACTTGAACCACCCACTACTCAGTTGAACCATTGCATGATCAGGGCCTCCTGAATGCGCACTGCTCCCATGCCCTCAGAAAGCAGGCCTGGGAGGCTGGCACACTCTGGTCCTCCCCCTTTCATCCGCAGCCTTGGGCTCGGCTGGGCCGGGCACTGGGTGGCATTTGTGCCTCTTAGGACTTCTGTAGTTTCCTGGTCATCGCTTCTGGACCAAGATGAGGGTCAGTCCACTTGAGTGCCCATCGTGGCTGGGGAGAGGAATGACAGGTGTTTCTGGGGCATCTGAGCATCCCTCAGAGAAGCAGTTCCAGTCCCAGTGGCCCCAGGCCCGCAGCTGGCTCTGGTTGCCTTCCTCAGGCCTTGCGATTTGCCCCATCACTTGATGCTTCCCCATGTGTCCCAGATGCAGATGCACTGGGAGGTGCCCCAGGCCTTGCTCTGTCCCTTGCTCCCTCCCAGTCTGACACATTAGTCCCACGGGCTATATGGTCACCATAGTGTGAGGTGCTAGACCATGGGTCCAAGTATGATGTGTCTGTGTTAGGATGAGCAGCCCTCGGGAGTAAGAGGTCACTGGCAGATTCCCAATGGCACTGTGGGATGCAGAGCTAGGGAAGACTCCTTTTATTGACACCCAGCCTGGGGATGGGTATTTGTATTCTGTGTGTGTGTGTGTGTGTGTGTGTGTGATGTGTATCATCAGAAAACCTAGTGTGTGCGTGTGTGAATTATATTATCAGAAACCCAGTTCAGTTAGGGAATCTGAACCAGACTCCAGCTTTGGGTCTCCAAAGAGCTGCCTGAGTGAACCCTGGTCCCTGCTGCCTGAGTGAGCCTGGTCCCTGCTGCCTGGGTGAACCCTGGTCCCTGCTGCCTGAGTGAGCCCTGCCCTGGTTCCTGAGTGAGCCTGGTCCCTGCTGCCTGAG